CCCCCCCCGTACTTTTCTTGAATCACTCTAGTAGAAACAGGCTTTTATTTTTTTCCCCCAGAAAATGCGATTACGTCCCTGTTATCAAGAATGGAAATTCCTGGACCATTTTTGTCTATTGCCCCCGATAGCTATTTCCACAATGATGCAGTTCCCGATTCAGTCAAGCCTGCAGTCCTAACACCTTCAAAACCTCCCCATGACACCCTATCCCACTGAAGCTTCCTTTCTCATGCCTTTCTCCTGTTGTGTCTTTCAGATGAGGCAGTTTTTGTTGAATACAGTGTCCCCTGCAACACAGGGAAGCAGTTCACATTCCATGTATCCAGGCTTCATTTTGCTCTCAAAGCCAGTCCTCCTTAAATACAAAAAACATTTTTTTTTTTTTTTGGCTGATCTCAGATTCTTCAAACTAAATGATAACACAGAAATATACACCTTAGGAGAGGAGCACAAGCTCTCTGGAAAACTCCTTTAATTCCTTCACCAGCAGAGCAGATGTTTATTACAGGGTGTGTATCTGATGAATCTCATTCTTAGCCGTAGCCAGGTTGGTTTCTTTTACCAAGCCCTGTTCATATCCAACTAGAATTATATTCAAGGGGCGCCTGGGTGGCTCAGTCAGTTAAGCAACCAGCTCTTGATCTTGGCTCAGGTCACGATTTCATGGTTTGTGGATTCGAGCCCGAAATAGGACTCCGCACCTTGGAGCCTGCTTAGGATTCTCTCTCTCTCTCTCTCTCTCTCTCTCTCTCTCTCTCTCTCTCTCTTCCTCTCTCTGCCCCTTCCATGCACTCTCTCTCAAAATAAATAAACTTATAAAAAAATTAAAAAGAATTATATTCAAGAAGAGGCACTAACACTTCTTTAAATGTTCACAGAATTCACCGGTGAAGCTATCTGGTCCTGGATTGTTGTTTTTTGGAGAGCTTTTAAATTACTGATTCAGTTTCATTACTTGTAACTGGTCTAATAAGATTTTGTGTTTCTTCATGATTCAGTCTTGAAAGATTGTGCATTGCTAGGAGTTGATCCATATCTTTTAGCTTTTCCAATTCATTGGCATATAATTGCTTGTAATAGTCTCTCATGATCCTTTGTATTTCTGTGGTGTCAGCTGTAACTTCTCTTTCATTTCTGATTTTATTTACTTGGGCCCTCTCTCTTTTTTTTCTTGATAAGTCTTGCTAGTGGCTTATGAATTTTGTCTATCTTTTCAAAGAACCAGCTTTTAGTTTCATTGATCTTTTCTATTTTTTTTTTATTCTCTATTTAATTTCTTTCTATGTGATCTTACCATTTCCTTCCTTCTACTAACTCTGGGCTTTGTTTGTTCTTCTTGCACTAGTTCCTTCAGGTGTAAAGGTAGATTGCTTATTTGGAATTTTTCCTGTTTCTTGAGGTAGGCCTTTATAGCTATTAACTTCCCTCTTAGAACTATTTTTGTTGTGTCTCATAGATTCTGTAAAGTTGTGTTTCCATTTTCATTTGCCTCAAGGTGTACCCTCATATCAAAATCAGACAAAGACACTGAAAGAAGGGAAGAAAGAAAGAGGAAAGAAAGAAAGAAAGAAAGAAAGAAAGAAAGAAAGAAAGAAAGAATTACAGGCCAATATCCCTAATGAATATAAATGCAAAAATCCTCAACAAAATATTAGCATACCAGATTTTATAATACATTAAAAGGATCATCTACCATGGTCAGGTGGGATTTACTCCAGGTATACAAGTATGGTTGAATATGCACACATCAATCAGTGAACAAAAGAAAGGATAAAAATCGTATGATCATCTCAAAAGATGCAGAAAAAAAATTTTTGGCAAAATTCAGCATCCATTTATTATAACAACTTTCAGCAAAGCAGGTATAAACAGACCATATCCCTACATAACAAAGGCCATATGTGACAAACCCACAGCTAACATCATACTAAATAGTGAAAAGTTGAGAGCTTTTCCTCTAAGATCAGGAACGAGACAAGCATGCCCACTCTTGCCACTTTTGTTCTACATAGTACTGTAAGCTCTGGCCCTAGTCAGACAAGAAGAAGAAATAAAAGGCGTCCGAAGTAGTAAGGAAGAAGTAAAATTGTCAATATTTGCAGATGACGTGATACTACATATAAAAACCCTAAAGATTCCATGGGAAAAAAAAAGCCTATGAAAACTAATAAATGCAGTAAAGTTGAAAGACACAAGGTTAACACACAGAAATTGGTTGCCTTTCTATACACTAATACCAAGCTATCAGAAAGAGAAATTAAGAAAAACAATCCCACTTACAGCTACGTCTGGGTGGCGCAGTCGGTTAAGCGTCCGACTTCAGCTCAGGTCACTATCTCGCGATCCGGGAGTTCGAGCCCTGCGTCGGGCTCTGGGCTGATGGCTCAGAGCCTGGAGCCTGTTTCCGATTCTGTGTCTCCCTCTCTCTCTGCCCCTCCCGCGTTCATGCTCTGTCTCTCTCTGTCCCAAAAATAAATAAACGTTAAAAAAAAAATAAAAAAAAAAAATCTGAACACTACTAAAAAAATAAAATAAAAAAAAAATAAAAAAAGGAATAAAATACCTAGGAATAAATTCAACCAAGGAGAAGAAAGAACAGCACACTGAAAACTATTAAGACATTGATGAAAGACACTGAAGAGGACACAAAGAAATGGGAAGGTATATTGTGCTCACAGATTGGAAGAATCAATATTGTTAAAATATCTCTACTGCCCAAAGCCATTTACAGATTCAGTGCACTCCCCATCAAAATACCAATGGCATTTTTCACGGGACCCAAACAAAGATTTCTCAAATTTGTATTGAGCCGTATGATGAGGATGAGGAGTGGGAACCACTGAAATAAGGTTGGACTCAGACTAACAAGATTTTAAAGGACAAACACTTATATGTAAGAGACACCGATAGCATGTACTAGATTCATGACTAAGATCCTGAGCATTATGGTCAAAGACCGTGTCGGATGTTCTGCAATGTTTTTTTTTTAACGTGCTTCCTGTACCCTTGTCCCTCTTCTGATGGCCTAGCCGAAGTGTGGGGATGCCCTCTCTTCATGTACAGTAATGAAAATTAGCCACAGGGTGGCAGCAAAGTTTATAAAGTAAGTACTGCTTCCTTATTAATTATAAAAAAAAAAGTAAAACAAAAATTAAGAAGTTAGGCAAAGGGAAGAGGAATAAAAGAGAAATAAAATAATTATGGAAACTTAAAACAAGAAGATAACAAAATAAGGTGCCTAGCACAAATTGTCCTTCTCTGTGGGCAGAATTACATTCACAAACTATAGAAATTATCCCTGAAAGTATAGTCTTCAGAATTACATTCACAATGCTGGATATGGCTATTTGGGACGGGGACACGGGGTGTTTCTTAGAATCAGTGTATTCTATGAGAAATATTACATTTCTTTGTTTTCTAATAAATGAAATGTGACTCTACGCCTCATCCCCATTGGACTACAAGAAATTTATCTCAGATATTTTGGACTACAAGAAATGTATCTCAGACATCGTGGGGAACTAATGCAGGATGAAGGTATTGCACCCTACTGCAATCATCTGTCTGTAGTCTACGTTTTAGATCGACCACTCTGTGGCCTCCTTGTCATTCATAGGGATAGGAATATTTGACAAAGAACAAGTGGCTGGGCCTGGCATCAGCCTTCCAGGTGTTCCATGGAAACCTTCCCTCTAAAACCTGCAAGAAATCCACAGACCTCTTTCTGCCCAGCCTGGAGGAATTGTTTTTGTCTGGGATATGTTTTTGCTGTTAAAACGTTTAGTCATTTCAGTCATAAACTTTAGTTTCTTAATTGGTTTTCTTCCTTCTCAAATTTATTTGCCTAATTTTTTTTTTTATTCAAAACCCAGAAAACCCTGACCAAACTTCCCTTAAGGTTCTATTCTTCCAGATTTTCTATATAGACAATCAGGTAATCTGTGAACAAAGATAGTCTTATTTCTTCCTTACCAATCTGTATACCTTTATTTCCTTTTCTTGTCTTATTGCATTAGCTAGGATTAACAGGACAAGGTTGAATAGGAATAATTAGAGGGGACATCTTTGTCTCATTCTGAATTTTAGGGGAAAGCATCTAGTCTGTCACCATCAGTATAATGATAGCTTGTAGGTTTTTTGTAGATATTCTTTACCAAGTTGAAGAAGTTCCCTGTATTTCTAGTTTGGTGGGAGCTTTTCTCATGAAATGGTGTTGGATTTTGTTAAATGTCTCTCCTGCATGTATTGTTATGATCATATGATTTTTCTTCTTTAGCCTGTTAACATGAAGAACTACATTAATTGATTTTCAAATGTTGGACTAGACTCACATATCTGGAATAAATCCCATTTTTCACGGTGTAGAATTATTTTTACACATTGTTGGATTTGATTTGCTAATATTTTGTTGAGGACTTTTGCATTTTTGTTCATGACAGAGTATTTAGTTTTCCTTTCCTGTGATGTCTTTCTCGGATTTTGGTATTAGGGTAATTCTGGCCTCATAGAATGGGTTAGGAAGTGTTCCCTCTATTTTCTGGAAGAGAGTACAGAGAATTTGTATCATTTCTTCTTTACCGTTTGGTAGAATTCACCAGTGGAAACAGTTTGATCCTAGTGCTTTCTGTTTTGGAAGGTTATTAATTTCTAATGCAAATTCTTTAATAGATATGGACCTAGTCAGATTATCGATTTCTTCATATAAGAGATTTGGTAGATTGTAACTATCAAAGAATTGGTCCATTTCACATGTTATTAAATTTGCGGGCATGAAGTTATTAATAATATTCCTTGATTATCCTTTTAGTTCCCATAGAATCTGTTATAATGCTGCCTCTTTCATTTCTGATAGTAATTTGTGTCTACTTTCTTTTTCTTGATTAGCCTGATTAGAAATTTATCAATTTTATTGATCTTTTGATTTTTTTTTCTATTGACTTCTTGTTTTTAATTTCATTTGCTTCTGTTTGAATATTTATTATTTCTTTTCTTCTACTTACTCTGGAGTTAATTTGCTTTTCTTTTGCAAGTTTCCTATGGTGGAAGCATACATTATTGATTTTAGAGGTTTCCTTTTTTTTCTAATGAACATATTCAATGCTATATAGTTCCCGCTAAGCATTGCAACCACAGGAAAGGTCTGGGGAGTTAGCATTGTGTCTGTGACTCTGTGATGATTTTGTGCCACATACTGAAATTATGCATATGGAATTATGAACCATTCTAAACGATAACAAGATTTAGCACTTTACCCCACTTCTCCTCTTTCTCCTGCTTTATCTAAAGTTTAATTTCCCATAACCAGGGGCACCTGGATGGCTCAGTTGGCTAAGCTTCTGACTTCAGCTCAAGTCATGATC